GTAAATAGTAACCAACCTAGATGTATATCCACTATAATTCCTTGATCATTGTATCAAATGTTTTAATGATAAAGGAAAGATGTGTCTTGTGGAAAATATTTATGTTGATCTGTGATGCACTCTAGTCACACTGTCATAGCATTTTACATAATTCATATTCTAAACAACAGCAATAATAAGTCTTTTATTTTCTTTTTACTTCACTCTTTAGATAGCGTCAATTTGTACAATTTAATGGCTAAATTAGAATCAGCTGATCACAATGTACAAATTGTTAGATTAAAAATTGTTGTATCAAAACTGATAAAATTACTAAACAAGAGTGATATAATATCCTTTAACTTGGATAAATTCTTGGCTTCTTTTCATTTCGTGGAAGTTAAAAAACGTGTTAAAAGTATGTTTCTTATGTGATAAATTCATTTAAAAAAAATTTAATTATGACATTTTTATGTGTCAACTACTACCCAGTTTAGTGTATTTATACATAGCTTTCGATGTTTTTTCGTAGTTTATAATAAATCTTTATCTGCAGTCTCCCCTTCTTCTTTGCTTCGAACCATATCAGTTTTTGTTCATTCCTAATAAGTAACAAGTAATAACTTCTCTGCAATTATAACAAGTGGCTGGACCAGTGTTTTGTTCAAGTCACAACAATAATAATCTGGTGTTCATAACGATGGAAATGATATAATATCTGTTCCAGATATGTAGTAGATTGCAGTACCGTTCAGTCAAATAAAGATATATAATTAGAGCTGTATTTGCAGATTCAAAACTCATGTTTCGTTTATTAGTTCACATTTAAATCATTAACATACTACTGAAGAAAAAAAGTTATTCAGTTGCACGTCATTCGGTTGAGATTTAAAACTATGAACGTGTAATACTTTACCGGTATCACCCTGTGTATGGGGGATGTGCAAGCGATAGTTTAATTCGTGTATACTTTTTATTTGAAGCTGTAATGCTATGTCACTAGTTGTTTTTCGATACCCTTAACAGCGTTAACATATATTATTAATAAGTAAATCGTGTTCGAATGACATATTTACTCAGAAGATGCTTTTTCAAGACTTTTATTTAATTTTCAAAGGAAGATTATACTTTTTTTGATTTTCGAGACCTAAAAACAATAAAATATTTGTTTACTTGGTTCAGAGTTACAGGTATTTGGTACTACTTCAAACTATACTTACCGCTAGTTTTACCTGCTAACTAGTACATTCAATGTAGGGCCGTAGAATTCAATGAACGTTAATCACTTTTCACAACTACACGATTATCACCACTTAAGTAGCTAAATTAACAATGAATACCAATTAGATATTTATTTTAGTGTTTACATTATTGCAAAGCTTTTATTCCAGTACAATATTATTTTAGTGTTTACATTATTGCAAAACTTTTATTCCAGTACAATATTAAGTATAAATAGCTGATAACTATTCGTTATATTTGTCATTCGATATACACAACACAAAGCATATTTATTGAAAGGAATTTGTCGGCAATTTATTTCATTGTTATATTGTGTTGATTTTTTTGTAAATTAGCTATAGACTGTAATATCTGAATTTGTCTTTTCTTTAAACAATACTTTGTGAATAAAACGATGATGTATTTCGTTCATCTTATTCTGTAGATACTTTAAAACGGAATAAGCACAATAAATTGCAAGGCTTATCTTCTCATCACTTGTAAACGGCCTAAATTTTAGTTACAAATAAACTTTTAACATGCTTTAGTTAATAATATGTCAGTGGAAATCAAAGCATGAGAAACGTTATTTCATTGATATCTGTAAAAATTGTTATCATATGAAAAGGGAAGTTATAATTAATAATGTTGGTAATTGTAATATTTTGGGGTAAATAATTATCTTTTTGATATTGTACCAGTCGCTTATGCGCAACATAAATCCTGGTACACATACGTCAGTTCAGGTTGTCACACTATATCACCATAGATCGATCCCAAGTTACTGGGAACATCGAAAACAGGCGATTCGAGAAAAAATGGATTCCTGAAATAGAAATGTATAAGATATTCTTAAAACTGCTCACGGTAGTCGTACAGATCCAAACCAGCTAGTCTCCAATTACCTACACAGCTCAATTCAGTAGTCAGTGACTTCATGGTCTAATGTCACTTTTTGGTTTAGCCACTCCTATATACCTTCCAGCTTACCCTTACACCAACGAGCATTGCTTGTCGAGTTTGGTTGTGGTTAGGTATATGTAATACATGTCCCAACCATCTAAGCTTATGAAGAGTAACCACCTTACCATCCGATTTGACATGTTTTCTCAGTACCTTATGCTTAATCTCAGTGTTGCTCACCGTATGGTCCCAGAATGCTCTAATGATGTTTGAAAGCACCTGTGACTACGTACTAGTAACGAACGAATATCCTCTGTTTTTAAAGTGCACATTTGATATCCATAAGGTAGAACAGCAAATTATAAAGCAGTATACTCTTTCTTTGGTTGGCAGACTAAAATCTTACGTACACCACAAGTCTCGTGTCTTCGCGATAGTCAATTGAGTTTTCTGTATTCCTATGGAGATTTTATTAGACACCAATGCTGGTTAGATTTCCAACATAGGTGAAGTAATTGACCGTGTCACCCACTTCACTATCTTTCATTAGTCTAATAATTGATACACACTTAACCCGAAGCTTGTTATATAACTAAACTAATTATATCGACACATAACTAATACTTTTTTTTTCGTTTTTTCTTCTAGTTTAACAAGCAAAACTGAATGTTCCCTGGTTGAGAAGTTTCATATATATCATTGAGCAGTAACCAGAATAATTATTTCCATTCGGACTGTTTTTATTCCATGTTACCTATTTATCTATTTTGTAAGATTTGTATTTATTTATTTGTAGCTTGTCTATTCTTATTTTGTCAATAAAATAATTCAAAAAGACCATTTAGAATGGACATTTGTTTTAAGGGAAGTTATTAAAAAATAAAATAAACCCTGAAAAACTTACTCCTTTACATTAATTACTTTTAAAAATATGTTGTGAATTTATGTTAGATTTTTTTATAAGATCTAGACATTATGTTTATAGTTATCTAATTATTATAAATCCAATATTTGGGGACCATAAATTATATTACATGCTATCCATATTCGTTTAGTTCTTATTCTTCTCCAGATTTTGGAAATATTATTAATTTAAAAATAACCATTGAACAGTAAAATGTTATTCTGTGTCTTTTGGTCTTCGTATTTTAAATGTTAGTTTTTATTTGTAAATTGGTCATTTTAAATAGAAGTACATTTGAATAATTTGTTATTATATCTTGTAAGGATTTAAGTATGATTCTAATTTTTTTTCAGTTACAATCAGTACACAAATGAATTGTATCATCACACTGAACTGATACAAGGTCAACAGTAAATATGAATTTTACCAGAAACTTTCTGAGAAAGTAAACGTTACAGTTTATCGACAGCACCTGATCTTAGCGAAGTTGGTGTATAAAAATTGACTTAAAATTCATTTGTAGATTTAAGAATATTTGGTGTGGTTAGTGCTCTATTCTTTGTTTTATCTTCATAGAAGAACCTCGTAACCATTTCATATGTTCGAGTCATCGAGGCTGACATGATAATTTCTAAAAGATTGAAAATTTGGTTGGCGTCACATAAATGATACGGCTCAAAGATAAGCGCATAAATCTGTGCTTGATAAACGAGTTGCATTTTTATTTCATAAAAGCCAGAGAATTTACAAGTTCCGTTTTGAAGACGTAATTGTTGCTTAGTAAAATTATTGGTTAAAAGAAGAATTATAACTATTTAGCGAGGATGGTACTCTTGGTCTACCTAAACTGTATATTGTACAAAGGTGACCAGTTTTTCTTGTCTACGTAATGACCCGACCGGCCTACAGTGGCTGGAACATATGTTCTTATAAGTCTTACCATGCTAGGCAGGTCTATTGGAGAGCTGTAAGTTCAAAAACAGCAACTCAAGGTCTGAGAGTGAAGTCGTACTGCTGACTGTAGAGGGGTGTGACAGCAGTAAAGTGTTTCCCTCGGACAACCAGCATCTGCAGCGATGCTGCCTTCTCATAATGAAGGAAGGGGTTAGAAAAGGTCGACCCTAAGAATGTCACATCGTCTCTGGCGGTAAGGCCTTCTGAAGAACGTAGGCAACACGTTAAAAACTTCCCACAAAAAGACTGTGCGTGACCAGCCTAAAGCAGTTGTCCCTTAGGCTCTAGAATCACGCTCCCTGGTCGTTAAAACCAGTACTAATCCAACCTCCTTTTCAGGTTCCTCAAGAAATACCCTTCCACGGTGTGGGCAGCCGGAAAGTGACATCGGCCCTCATACCCGTAACAGCACACAAAACCAAGTTGGTCACTATCAAATCCTTCCTATACTTCCTAATAACTCCTATCTCCATTAATAACCCTTCTCACGTTCATTTATCACCTCGTTCATCTAATGCAAACAATTTGAGTAAGCGGAACCTTATTCCTGGTCTCCTGAAACCACTACATATAGGAGCTTAGTGTCGCACAATGATTGCTATTTTCCTATTAAGTGAGGACCAAACGACCTGTTATCGATTCAACAATATATTCGTGATATTGGTTTCAAGGGTACAGAATGTGTCTGGTAGGTATGAATATTCACTCAATATTGTACTTAAAAACTATAAATGAAGGGGTTCTGTGTGCCGGAATATTAACAATGATGAGATGCGTCAATATGTGATCCCAGGATTTTCATGCTCATACAAATGATATCAGTCAGAAAATGAAACTAAATTTTCCTCCAGTGCCTTGTTCAACGATTATACAACTTTCATCAGTCAAATTATTTAGTTTTTTATTTGGACTACTCATAAGTAGTATCTTTTAAAAGTTGATAATTCTGAAAATCAGTGCTTTCTCACTAAGTTGTGTGCTTTCATGTTGTTGATAATATCAGTTAACCACAAGGAAGTGTTTAGACAAAGACCAACTTCAGAACTTAACCTTTCACTATGTATTTTAACTCATAAATAGCTGAATGTTTACATGTGTGTATAGTGGACAGATCAAAATGAATATGTATTTGTATATTAAAATACAACAGATGAGTTTGTATTATGATCATTCATGGTGTTCATTTTATGCTTTGTTTTATCATATAAAGATTATGAATAATGAATTGTGATTAACTGATTGATTTGGTGAATGAATGACTATAAATAGAATATACACATGTTATAGTTAGTATATTAAGAAAATAAACATTTACAACAAAAACAGAGAACAAGAAAAGAATGAATTGAGAAAAACAGTAAATTATGTATATTCATTTGTTTATTTTGGTCTTTTTCATTTTTCTGTACTACTCACACTAAACTCGTTAAAAAAATGTTTACTTCTGATTATTCATGATAGTCTTCTAATTTCTTTCATGGAATAAAATACCAACAACTTGATGAGTTTTTTTATTTGTTTTCAACATGTCACAATTGATTGTAATCTCTCCTGATGGGTTTAGGCATTTAAATAGTATCATGATGATTGTGACTGCTATTTTGTCACTGTTAGCAACAGATCCAATTTCAATACAGACATTTTTGTCATACAAGTATGGGAGAAAAGCATTTTTGGAATAGATGTGAAGAGAATCATAGAGGTAGGGAATTTAGTGTACGAAAGTGAAAACAAACACATAAAATGATTTTAAACCGTAAAATGATGCATTTATTTGTGCATATTCATAGTTATTAATTACATGTGGATATGACCACTGTTTTACGGCATGTCTTACAGACAACTTTACAGCACCATTGAAATTTACAATCACATCTTTCCTGTTGAACAAATGTTTGCCGTTTAAATCCTCGACCACAGCATAAATAATGACAACTATTTAAACCTTGGGAATTTTCGTCACATTGACGTCCATATGTACCGATACTGCCATACCGCGGGTCATGATGACAAAATGTTGGTGATTCACTTATATAAATTAAATCATTTTCTGTTGGTGATGGTAAAGATGATGGAGATAGTGATGTTGAACTAGTTAACGAATCTAAGGTATTTCGATTAACTCGTGATGGTATTGCTGCTCCAGGAGATGATGATGCTCCAGATACTGACGATGATAATAAAGCGGGGTGTGAAAGCAAAAGCGCGTTTCCATTTGATTCTTTATTTAACTGTTCTAAAGCTTTCATTGGAACCAAACGGTTTTGCATATAAGCGACCTGTATAGCTTCATGAAATCTTTCTTGTAATTGTGCACCTAAATGTCGAAATTTCGGTAGCGATCTCCAGCATGTGCGCATCTCACATGATCCACTTACACCGTGACATTTACATTGAACTTCCATTTTATTGATAACCATCTAATTAAAAATTAATAAAAGAAAAATATTGTAAATGAAATTACACTTGGGAAAAATTAGTGTTTATCGACTGAAGTAATGATACTTTTTGTCGCCTTTAACTGTCCTCATATCTTATTCTACATAATTGTTTAAAATTAATGAGATCTAGATAATAACTGGATGATGAAGTGATTTTTCTACAACTGTGTAAAATAGGACTTTGAACAGGAGAGAACCTGAGAGTTGGAAAACACATGAGAGAGGACAAAAACTGATATCAGTTGAAGACTTCATTCACATCCAAAATTATGACAACAATTTATTAACTGAATACACTCATATGCGTACAAATTTCCCAGGGTTTTGATCACTGGTCATCGAATACTGCACATAAGTGAAGCAATAGAAATACGACTTGATTTTACATTAGAATTATGCAACCGAATATTATACCAAGCAAATATTACAACGGAATTCATACAACGAATAATGAATGCTACAGTAAGTGAATAGGACACCAAATCGATACAAAAATTGTGATACCAAATGAATACCATATATAAATATTATATTGAATTAAAGATAAAATATTTTACTGAATGGAAACATGAACTCGCTTTTAATCTTGTCATAACAATTTTTATTATCAATGAAAAATTTGAAATAAGCCATTATTCATTAATATTGAATACTTTACTTCTTTTCTCCCAGTTTTTACAGAATATTATCAGCTCAGTCTTCAAACTTCTACTGCTACTTAAGTAATTCACATTTACCAACTATTATCATTAACATAAATGTGGTTTTATAAGTTTAATTGTTTTTACTATCATTCTTCATCTTTATTGAAAAGTGCAATATAATAAAGTATGATGATTCTATAAGATTGGTTTAGTTTGAAAATTGATTTCGTCATGAATTGATATTAGTTAAGGAAGTATTATAATTTTTTTAAAAAACTATGTTGTGTACTAGACAATTTTTACGTAATGCTTTCTTTCTCATTGTACAAAACCTTTAGCTAGAATTACAATACTTACTGAAACATTGAACTTAAATTCTTGCACGGGATAATTCAATAAAATTAAATATTTTATTTGTTAATTATCATTATTTCAGATATTGAAATCATGAGTCAATTGAAGCTAGACCATCATGGAAAACCTGGAAGCACTGGATGGCGCTTGGCGAGAGACTGATAGGTCCTGGGTTCGAATCTCACAGTGTGCGGGATCGTGGATGCGCACTGCTGAGGAGTCTCATACTAGTACGAAACGGCCGTCCAGTGCTTCCAGGTTTTCCATGGTGGTCTAGCTTCAATTGACTAATGATTTCAATCTGTGAAATTTCTAAAATCTCCACAAACCCCTTCTGATAATTATCATTATTGCCCATCATAATTGACCTATTTGTCTTCAGATCTTTAATTACTTCATTAACTATTTATTATAATAATATGAAGTAGTTTTGGGGAGTTTTTTTTAAAAGCTTTGTTTGTAGCCAAATTTGGACCAAAATAATTGACTTTTCTATCATCTTATTGCGTACATGATAGGTATTTACTCTGTGTTGTTAAATAAAAACGATAGTATTTCCTCCCCTACCATTTATCGATGAGCTAAAAACAACTATCCATTAAGTAATTAATCAGTCCTGATGATAAGTGAAATATTACTTGTATCCAAATGCTTTATATAATCCCCATAAAAATCATTATGTGATATCCCCTCCCCTCAAGAAAAATAGTATAAATACTCTATTTCATAAATTGTATCTATTTAATGTGAAGCTTCGTTCGTTACTTACGTATTTTATACAATACATCGAAGTCAAAATGTCAGGCAATAAAATTTATTCCAAGTAAGCATCCATCTATTTATTAACAAGTCAGTTCAATAGCATTCATGTTGAAGATTTCCTGGGTGGTGTTTAATTCTCATATAATTTTATATGTTTGTCTGTGTGTAAGGCAGAATAGTGAGTGTTCAGTTGTGTTATAAAGGAACAAGGCAATATACATTCACATTTCATTAAACGAATTTGATTGTGAGAGGATAAATATTGGAAAAAGAAATTAACGAGAAAGAATACTTTTGACGCCTATTTTGGTAAAAATTCACAAACAAGTGTCAAAAAACCTTGAATCTGGCGTAATTTTTTTATTACATTTGTAAAACATATTTATTTCGCATCACAGATGATTACCAAAACAACCATATAATGTGTATGCAAATAGAATTTGGATGACGTGTATTGTGCGCATATGATTATATTCAATGTACTGATATGATTAGTTAACCCCTAGATTAAAAATAATTTCCCACATTTATCATCATTTTCTAATGTAACCATCATAATGATTATCCCTTTCTATATATATTGCTACACTATCACTTAACTTTTAGACTTGGTAATAATCTTTGTCAGTTACCCATACATATCACCCTAGCCCACCCCCGTACATTAGTTATAACATACATTGGGTTATTTATTGTATATGTTCAATTTCAATGATCATTAATCAAATCACCTAGTTTACTCATTTTATTCCCATTGATCTTAGTTAAAGATATTAAAAACAAACAAACAATTATGTTATCATACATAATATTACTATGATTATTACTAGTATGAACATTAGAACCAATTTCTAGTAATAGTCAACTGACTGTATACACATCTAACTATATATATATATATATATATATATATATATATATATATATATATATATATATATATATATATATATATATATATATCGTTAAAAGTAACATGATTTATTTGATAGTTAATGATAGTGAAGTTACTTAGTTAGCAGACAACATAAGAAATTGGAAGAAGAGAAAAGTTGATGAACATTTCATGAAAGTAAGAGAGAGAAATTAAATTTCTTAAAGAGTTCTTTTCCAAAGAATAAATTGTTTATAGGTTAAGAAAAATTAGTACCAAGTCTATGAAGATAGATACAAAATAAAAGAAAGGAAGGGAGAAAAAACAAAAATATATAGGAGTAGGTTAAGAGAGTAAAACAGTTACAGAAATAAAGAAACTGGTGTACAATAATCTGCTTGATACTTGTAATACTTTCAAGGGGAATAGGATGTAACTAAGATTATGGTCAAGTGAAATAATGTTACCATCATTAATAATAATAACGTAAAAAATTCAACTATATTAGTAGTGGCATGAACATTATTACATGTAATAGTGGTGATAATAGTCCTGTATGCATAGACAGTTATCATGATAAGGAAATCAAACACTTCATGAAATGTCATAGCATGTAGAAAAGGTGAACAAAATCTTCGTAATGTATTAGAATTAAAAGTAATCAACCTGTTAATTTTTTCTCCTTATTTAATGTCAGTTATACGGTTTATACATTTTTCATCAACAGGGGGGTTTATAGTTTTGTCACGTAAGTATATAATAATAAACTAGAAATGAGAAAATTGGCAAGATGAAATGGATAATCATGTAGGCAAATTTGCTGAGAAAACAAGAGGATGGTAAAAAGCACATAACAACTCTTTCATCACATTAGAAGACTTCTTAGAATTATGTACTCATAACTTCTCAAGGAATCAAGTTCAGAACCTGCTGATGAGTCTCAAAAACAATCTTCAGTTTTCCTTAGGCTTTAATGGTAATCCAAATGACGTCAGTCCGTGATGAGAATTCAATAAAATATCTATACAACTACCTAGGTTAATTTGGTATTTATGAAAGACAGGAATTAAACTAACTAGATATGATTTATTTTGAAACCATTTTAGTTACACAACTACCTAAGTAATAGATATTTTGATAATAAGTTGTGGTATGCACGTTAATTGGGTCTGGTTGACAGAACCCACATTCACACCATAATGATGGATGATATATAGAACTCGTGTGATTTATTTTAGGAAATTAGCAAATATAAATAAGAGAAATAAGTTACAAAAATCATCGACTCGATCGTAATGTATTTTATGCAAATCTGGACTTAAATGTGAAATAACAGTTGGCACTCCAAAGATAAATGTCCTCGAATCTCCAGAAGGAAAACCCTTAGTAGAAAATTTATTAATATTATCCTCAAAAAATACAATTATTTAGAAATGCTTATGAAAATTTATCTCATTCAATTAAGTTCACATATTTCTTTGGGAATCGATGTATATTGTCTTTTCCTTTAAGTTTCTTTCGTACATATTCTGACTGGTCAGAACCAGTGGTTTGAAAATACTATAGTTGAATACTTAAACATTATTAGCAGTTGGAGCTGAAGAAAGGTATATTTCTTTCTTTTGTTTTGAAAAAGGATGTCTCTTGAATTTGATACATACTATGCCTCAGATATTTATTATTAGTAGTTGACTAATTGCCAGAACTGTGGTCTCCAATACATCCAAAGTATGAAAATTAATTGTCAAATATACACACTTCATATTGATTCTAGATATTCTGTTTATTGTTATACTCAAAATCACTAATGCAAGTTTGATTTTTATGTATGTTTACTATTAAATTTTTCACTATGCAATTAGATTTGTGACGAACCGCTTTGAAATTTTAACAGAAAGAATGTCATTATGAATTGTTAGTTAACATAAACATGTTTGACTTACAGAGAGAGGACAATAAATACCTTTCAAATTTTATTTGATATCTCTAAATAATAGTAATACAAATAATAATTTCATATATTAAATTTAGTCCACTTGTTTCTAATAGATTGGAATAAACAGCAAAGTAATGCACATTTCATAAGATAACTTTAATTATCCTGGTATGTCGATAGGTTAAATAATTCTTATTTGTTAACAGTGTCAATTACTATCATCAGAATTCCGGAATCTGACATTTATGTAGACAGTTAATGATGATCTACGTGAAAAAAGTGTCTGTATTGGTAGATACACAGCTCTTAATGTGGATATGTTTACCGCAGTTACATTGAAAATGATAGTTTCTTGAGCCGTTTATTACTGAGATGAACTTATTAATCGTGTAACTTTAAAAAATCGATAAAATATCGTGATTTTGAATACATTATCAAAGCTAAGTAAAGTAGATTATAGTTCTACATTGTTTAACTTAATGGCCAGAATACCTTGCCTATTCGATCGAATATGGTCGTTTATATTGACTGGGAATGAAAACTGTTAATCTTCAGGTGAACACTAAATATTTTGAACTGCATACGACAATTATAAATATAAACTTACATGTCTTCCTACATAGTTATTATGTAAATTGGTTAGGCCTAATTTCGGATTACGCTTCAACCTGTTGCGTTCACGCACGTCGAGAAATTGTCTTGAAAATTCTGCTCCGAAATATATATTGTCTGAACAGCCGGACCATTCAAAATTCGGCTCTCTAGGATGATCATATATTGTCCTGTCACATCCACAGTTATCATGTAAACCACTACTACATGCTTTAGTGACTGCATGTGACACACCGGCCGATGTGACAGCCAAAACATAAGCAGATTCCCTTGTACCTATGAAAAAACATCGAATAAAGATAGTACATTTTTAAAAGGACTTCAACACGAATATAAGCGGATAAACATATAAAAATGGGATAACGAATTACTAATTATAATATCATGAATTAGTAATTCATAGGTCGAAATCTCGACCACTCAAGTTTGTTTTAAATCGCCGTGTAAAACTATTTAATTCCTCTAAGTGGCAAATAAACTATAGAACTCGAGTAAATGTGAATAACATGTGAATTTATTTATTCAGACTATTATCTTGTAGAAAGAATCATACGATATTAATTTCGTTCAGTTGACTAAATGTTCCATTTCTATTTTACTATGAGGCTGATAGTCATCCGCTCAAGATAGTTAAGTTGCAATTCGGTTAAATTCCTAGAATTCCAAAATTCCCGGTGAACTGGTGTATTATTGTATTTATTGCATTACATTCAGTATTTCATATATTTGATAGAAAATAATCATATTCAGTTAAATTTTTAGAAAATATATAATTGTAAAACTCTTTTATGGTTAGTATTAATCTATAAATAAATATTTATTCTTTAATCATTCAGTTAACTGAATGTAGTCAAAATATGTTGGTCAAATAGTGACAAAGCTCTTGTCAGTCTGTTTCATAATATTTTCAATAGGTAGTTCGGAATTATAATTTAAACAACCATATGTTATTCGGTAAGACTGGATCATTTGTGATTGTAAATAAATTAACTTCAGTATAGTGATATTTAGGATTCTTATATATGCAATAGACTGACGTACTAAAAAGTATGTATATTTAAAATTGCATTTTACCAGGCAGTTTTATTGATGAGAAAATCCCTCACTTCCCAGTTATGGACATTTTTATGAATGTTTTTTATTGGCGAAAGTGTCTGATATTCCGCTAATTTATATGGTTCAGTAGTCTACTATTTATGTTTAGAACAAAAACACAGATTAACGCACTGTTCCATGGTTGTTAGATGATTGAATGAAGCTGACAGAAAGCTCTGAATGTAGATTTTGCGCTAGTTGGCATTTCTTCTGAAGCCGTATCTGAAATTTTAAGGGAATTTATGCTACTTATGAGATTCAGACCTACATCATCCAGTATCGCGGTCAGAACATGTACCGCTAGGCCATTTGGGCCTCAGCCGACCTTCTATAAGATTGTGACGCCGGGTAAGGAGTATCTAAGCTCAATAGGGGGTATCATTTTTGTGAAAATTACAGGTATGTGTTCGATAAAAAAGTTTTAAAAGGAACAGAACGCAGTCTTTAGAACTTCCTGGTAATTTATTTTCATGACTTTGGATCATACTAGGTTCATATATACATACCGATATCTTCAATAAATGAACTGAGGTAGTCTTGGTGATAATCAGAAGAATAATATAGATAACCAAGTGGTAATCTCTCATATTTCGGGAGAAGAATACGAAATAAATTGGATCTATTTACTCCTTGTGAAATTTACTTTTATCGCGCAGGTGAAATTTAGTGGTCAAAACAATTTTCTCTTGTAATACTTTGACTATTTGATGAAAAATAGACTTTTACCATTTAAGCTTAATCTGTTTAATAGACACATACTCATTACAGTGCATTATGTCTAAAAGTTTGAATGATTAGATACCTCGAATATTTTATAAAATTTTGGGATTCATACATGTAAAGTTCATTTTTTTACAAATACAGTCCATCCCACTGAATAATCGTCCACCCTAGTTGAAACGTATTATCAATGTAGTGTAAGCATTAGTGATTCATAACACAAATTCATTTAACTATTCTGATATCAACCGACTCTCTCTCTTTGTTTTAACTGAACATGTGGAAGTGATATCGGTTATTTCTGCTTCACTACCAATACCACATCGAATTACGTATCAGTCTACCAGTCATGTGTTAAATCTTCTGTAATTTAAATCACCTGGTTTGAAATATATCCAACTGGAAATGTCTGAATAAGATATTTACCTTTCTTTTATACTACCAGATGTTTTAAAATGATCAACATATTAATGGACATAAGAGCTATTTTTGCCCAAAGGTAATATTAAGATAGGTAGGCAAATAATTACTTAGAATAATGTTGTAAATAATCTGGATAAATTAATAAGATATAAAAGAATCCGTCTTCAATCATTAAATCACAGTTCTGGGTCTTGTTCCATTTAAAGCTTCCAAATAATATTTGTAAGGTGGAATATTTTGTGTTATTTGGAATTGTTATCTTCAATCTACTAATTCAATATGCAGTTGGAATAATTTTTATTGTACAGCCTTATGTTTTGTGGTTATATTTTTCTGTCAAAGTCTAGAGATTTGTACAACACTGACTTTGATCACTGTAAAACTCATAACTTCTCCATGTTGATCATCTTATTTTTAAATACATTTTCCATAATTAATCTGACAGATCCATTTACTTACTCACTAAGCAAGCTAAATTTTCACGTAAAGTAATCCAGCAATTCTTATTTAAAAGTATGTTCTTAAGAATGTCAACATAATGTTAAAGCTGTAATAGATTAGTTCAACGCCTAATGCATTTAGTGGAATTCCTTATGCATAAGACGGTACTGATTTATTCTAAGATTTTTCAACAATCGCTAATAGAAAATCTATTCACCTTTAGTGTAGAAAGCTCTGTGGTTAGGTGTTATCTAAAAATGAACAGCCCAGTACTGATATCATGGTTAATTGAAACATCAGTTATTGCAAGGTTTTACATAAAAGTAACTTAGTGGCCAATACAAAGCGTATTCAGCCATGTTACAATGACAATTTAAAATACTTGTTATTGACTTGAACAAAGACATGGAATTTATTTAATAAAGTTCTATCAGGACTAGTGACTTGAAAATATAACACCTTTTACTACCAAATAGTCCATTAGTGCAAAGATTTCAGTATTATAGAAAATCAGTCGTTATCTGAATAGCTTACCGTTATTGTCAGTGAACTGGACACTGCATGACAAAAACTAAAATCCTACAGGTAACTTCATTTCTTCCAAGTTTGCAAATGTGTCTTGGTGACGAGTGACAGCTATTATGAAGCTTAGTCTGAGTGATTGCATTTCAAGACACTGAAGAAACTGGTGATGTACAATTAATGTTGTCATATAAAAGCATTGCTAAAATAAGTAAACTAATTGGAAATTAATTTTTTTAAGTGTTTGTGAGATATTTTATTAAATTAAAAATTTCCGCTAAACTAGAAATCTTATTTCCATAGTTTGATGTCAACTAACTTTTGCTGATGGTAACAGGTTTTTCAAATGAAACAAAAGTCATTTAAAAAGTGATGATTTCATGGTCAATGGATTACTATCTAAATTCAGATAGCATGTTCGGAAATCTTTCTATCTACTATGGTTTTGATGGCCAAAGTGTATCAATAACCATTATATAGAGTATATAACTCGTAGCTGATTACATGAACCCGAACTTGGTCAATGAATAACAATCAAGTATTTTAATTCCACTTGTTCATACAAAGTCTTGAAAATTGTAGCACTGCTCCTATGGGGAATAAATTTATTCCCCTATATTTTTCCATTCTATTTATGAATATTCAATGAATGCCAGTTGGTTGAAGGAAATTTATAGAGTCGTTGATTTTCAAGATAACCTTATTGTTAATTATTTGTCTTATAAAAATACTTATATTGAATAAATGTCTGTGTGTTTGATAACCTTACTGTAAATTGCTTGAAAAATTTGTAAATATTCAACAAAATTAACAGCGTTAACACTCTTCGTCGATGGACAATTTTCCAGTTATTCAACTACACCATAACAGCCCACAAAATAAAACAACTATTAGTTAGTATGCCATGAACAGTTCGATAACATGTACATACATCTTATAAGTAAATAGACAGTATTCATATGGATTATTAAGTCTTCCTGTCCAGACTATTTTTAAAGTTCTAATTCATATCCCTGTATATTCTGTCAGATAAGGCGGATTAGTGTTAATTTGTTGTTCAGTAAAATAAATGGGCAATAAATGGACCCCAGTATCCATAATTATTCATTGTTTTAGTTTAATAATGTTTTTGTAATAAAGCTGAAGGATTATAGGGATTACTCAGTGATATAAAGATAACATGCTGGGTGCGAAACCTGAAGATTCTAAGTATTATCTCTGAAGTACTCATGGATGTGCACTCCTGAAAAATTCCTTACCATGAAGAAACACTTGTTTCTCTAACAGTTTACCAGATAAAAATTAGTCATTTTTTGCAAATGTCAAAGCCTCTATCCCATCAATGGCTGATAAGTAAATATAGTTTCCCCTTATCATTAATATTATTTAAAATGCTCGAGGCATACAAAATGATCTTTTTAAATCAATTAGTAAAGAGTACGAACAGAATTCAAGCTTTTTAGGTACAACAAGACAACATAGAGAAGTTTTGTAATTGTACATCTAATACTAGGATTCTCCAGTAATCCACTACCTAAAATTAAAAATCTATATTCCTAACAGTGATCAATTTACGATAAGACAAGATCATCGTTCCAATAGATTTTCATTCTGAGTTGATTTGTATGTACTTCTAAAGAGGCTAGAAGTAGGTTAAAAACAATTATTTCGTGTTCCATTGATTTTCACAGTTTACCTATTTAATACAATCCATAATTGAGTACAATCAACCTCTCGGTTAAATCATGATTTTTTTCTTTTTTCCTTTCTAAATAATATGAAAACAATTGGTTGTATACTAGATCAATACTACAGATTTTACAGTATAACTTTATTTAACACATAGTAACTAACGTGTATGACAAAATTTCGTTTAGTTTTCCACTAGAATGAAGTTAATAAAATGTATAATTGCAGGTAACCAATATTCAATTAACTTGAATAATCAGAGGAGGTTTTGTGGAGATTTTAGTAATTTCAATAGTTGAAATCATGAGTTAATTGAAGCACTGGACAACCGTTTCGTCCTAGTATCGGGCTCCTCCATCGTGGTCTAGCTTCAATTAACTCATGAA